ATTTTACGGGAGTGTCCCTGTCATTCAAAGTTATTACACCAAAAGCACATAGGCTAACCAACCACTTTTATGCTGGAGGACCGTACGTTTTCCATCTATACTGACGGTGCCGCCCCCTGTCCCAGGTTCACCTGCGTGCTCTGTCACGCCGTGTGTCCCTCTGTGGCGGCGCTGCGGCTGCACGGCGCCGCCGCCCACTGCGCGCGGCTCTCCGTCTGCCGGCGCTGCGGACTCTCGTACCTGACTCAGCGCGAGCTGGACAGACACCCCTGTGAGGAGGAGCGGAGAGAGCGCCAGGAGCGGCGCAGGGAGCTGGAGGAGGAGCGCGAGCGGCTCGAGAGGCAGAAGGTGCCGCCGCTACTGGTGCGGCCATCCAAGGTAGGAGGGGATGGAGGATGTGCGGGGTGCCGTATCGAGTGTGAGTTGTGGTTCTGTTGTAGGTGGGGATGGCGTAATTGTGCTCTAGTGATGATCAGTCATCTTTACTTGGATACGAACCAGCAATGTCAAGTGATTGTTACTATGCCAGCGTGTGTTTTTCTACATCGTGTTGCTAACGTTTCTCCCATCTCTTCGTGTTTGCTCGTACTGAACTGAGGGGATTATATTAAGTGAAAGCTGTACGCAGGAGATGATGTATGGCGACAGTAATCCTGGCAGCTGAACATCCCTAGCATCAAACGATGATCCGACACGCCGCATGACCTGCCTATCTCCACTCCTCTCTCGCAGAACGACCGTGTGCGCCGCCTGGAGGACACCAGTTCGGAGGACTCTGACGAGCCGGAGGAGCCGGCGCGCCGCTGGCCCAGCCCGCCGCACTCCCGGCCCGTGTCCCACCGTCCGCCGCCGGCAGCCCCGGCACCCCGGCCGCCACCGCCCAAAGCCTCCCCAGCGGCCGCCCAGGCCCGCCGGCCCGCACCGCCGAATGGTAAGCGAAAACCGCACGGGTCAGGGGGGGGGGCACATTTTAACGTATAAGTGCGTATGTTTGTTCTGAGAATGTTATACCAACTTCTACGCCGCAGTGTTATTAGTTTATATAACGTGCGGCACAGCGTCCTTGGTTTCACTTCAGCGAGTACAGTGGGCTGTTTGGTTGAATATTTTAGTGGTGTTTCTGGGTCAAATGCAGTTCCGGACAGTTCAAGTATTTGACTAATGTAGCTGATGTCACTCCACAGGCCATTGATTTGCGACAGCCTGAGTATCATTCAGTTTTCATGACGTAGGTCAATGTTTGGTACCGGGCAACACGTTCGTTTCTGATGGACGGAGGCTAAATATACATTTTCGTGTCCTTTCTCATCAAGCATATTCTGCTGCTGTGAAATATCATGATATACGCAGTTGAAGATTAACCCGTGCCCTGCTGGGGGTCCTGGATTTCCACGCCCTGCTGGGGGGGGGGGGGGGTGTTTGAACACCCCCCCTTGTAACTCGGCTCCTGGGCCACGTAGCGATACGCGGAAGGCGGCGTTCGAAAGAGCGTAAAAAATAATGACGAAATCACTTCGGTCAATTTTTTGGTCAGGTCAAAGGTCAGGTCACCAGAGGTCATTGAAGGCAAAATTTCGCCGATTTCCAGGTCGAATGTCGAAAATTTCCAAGAAGCCAACGCATAACTCGGGAACCAATAGAGCTACAGCGCCGCGGAAAAGCGCATTCGATAGCCCTATTAACGCCCTTTCTGAGTAATTCCCTCAGATTTGACCTAACGTCAACGGTTTTGCCTGCAGGGGGCAAAAACTGCAAAAATAGCCGATTTTTTTGAAAACAGTTTTTCTGCAATAACTTTTGACCCAAGCCTTGTACGAGCTTACTTTTACCGGCATCGTGTTCCTCTCGTCAAGACGCATCGAAGGAACTATAACTTGACCTTGAAAGGTCAACTTGAAAATTTGACCTCAGGTCAAGGTCATGACCTGACCGGAAAGGGTCATGTTGCATATCAGTCGATCCGTATCGTCGAGCTGAACACATCTAAGGCGTTTTCATCGCTCTAGCATGCCTCTATCAAAAGTTATTTGCGAAAAACTGTTAGATACCATTCGTGACCTAAGATGACCTCAGGGCATAAACAAGGGTCACGGACACCATTTTTAAGTTCAGTGTGTCTAAACCACTTGTAATTCGGTGTTTGGGAGTGTTTATAATGTCTTTCATCCAAAAGAGGCGCATTTCAATTTTCTCCCATTGACTTATAATGGGGAGGTCGCAAAATTGACCTGACCTTAGGTCATCGATATCAAAATTCTGAGATATACATTTTGTACATGCTATTGCTCTTAGCAATCGCTGAAAGTTTCAAAGCGATCGGTCACTCGGTGTAGCTATGACAGACATTGAAAGTTTTTATGAGGTGAGGTCACTTCAAGTGACCTGGTGACCTGACCTTGAATGACCTTGGTCTGAAATTTTCACAACATGTGTAGAATTGATGTATGATAAGGTATACCAAAAACGGCGGCGCTCCGCGCCGCCGTTTTTGAGATATTCGCGAAAAACCACAAGGGGGGTGTTCAAACACCCCCCCCCCAGCAGGGCGCGGGTTAAGCTGTGTGACAGAACCTTTGTAACATTTTAGCGGGCGTATTTTGGGCTTAATGCTTGATATCCAGATGGTGAAAAGTTTCCTCTCCCAGTGTCCATTGGATACATTCTGATGATTCTGGCCATCTTATAACGCTCTCGTCGCTGTTGTGTCGTTACAGGAAAGAAGGAGGCATACGTATGCCGTGTGTGCCACTCCAAGTTCCGCGACCCCAAGTCGGTGCTGAACCACCTCAAGCAGTTCCATCCGGAGCACGCTCGCAAGGCGTGGAATAAGTTCCAGGTGGGTCAATGACCGGCAGGCGGCAGCGGGAGCAGCTGCCGCTGGCCGGCCGCCGTGGGCGGAGGAATGGCAGCTGGTGGCGGGGTATTAAATAGCGAGCTCACCTGGTGCTGTTGGTGTCCAGTGGGCGGGTGTTAATGCTTTAAATTGGACACGCGAGCTTGTGTCTGTACGCCTGCTGCTAATGATGTACTGATGCAGATGCTGTTTTATTTGTTTTAAATGCTGCTATATGCATAGGACGTAGTCGGTATCCTTTTTGCGTCTGTCATATGATGTCGACCAACATGCTAAAACATTTAGTTAATTAACATAATCTACTGCCGTTTTTACGAAACTCAAACTGTGAAGAAAGGGTGTGTGGAGCTCTAGAGCTCCACAAGCAAAAAGTAAAGCTCTAAGTAAAGCTCTAACACTGACCTCACTATATCCCGTGGCAGGATAACCTGAAGAACCGTCAGTCGGGCGCAGCACCGCCGCCCGCGGCCGGCAGGGGCGCCGGCGGCGGCGACAACACGTTCGCCGTCCGCTCGGTGGCGCCGATGAAGCTGAAGCTGTCCCGCTCGGCACAGCAGCAGCGGATGCACCACGCACCGCAGCAGCGCCGGCCGCACTCGCCGCCGGCTCCCAGGTGGGTATCGGATAGGGTGCAGACTGCTTGGAAGGCTGGAGGGTGAGGGTCATATTTTTCACAGTCATAAGCGGATGTGGAGGTTGTTGTGAGGATGAGTGTTTGACAGCCTCTGGATAAGGAGTGTATGGTATGGAAACATGTTTTAGAACTTTCAGCGAACAGCTGATCGATGCCTAATTAGATCTTTGAAGTAGCTTTGACATGGGCACGCAGGGACCCCGCATAAGACATGCATCATCTCTAAGCTGATTCCAGCCACCTGCACGTGAATTGGTCTGTACGTATGACACCCAGCTGGCGTATCGTTCAGCGTCCGACGCTCACCTTCCGTCCCTCCCCGTCCCCCTGCCGCAGCTCGGAGCCGACCGGTCCGCCGTCCCCCGGGTTCGTCACATGTGGCGTGTGTGGCGGCACCAAGTACTACACCCACACTGCCAGCTGCAAACTGGACGGCTCCTACGCCTGTGAACCGTGCCGTAAGTTCGTCAGTCGCCTGATGCCCCACCAGTCGGTGCAGTGCCTCCTCGGGCTGGGGAGGTGCCATATCCCTGCCGTGGCGCCGCGACACTCTGCCGAGGCGCGCTGCCGCGCCTGCTGGCTCAAAAAGTGCCTGCTGGCGTTCAATATGACGCCCGAGCGGCACAACAAACTGCGGCACCTGCTACCGCCAAGCATCGCGCGAGATGTGCCCGAGGCGGCGCACAAACCGTTCCAGCAGACGGGGCGCTGTGAGTTGGACGAACCGTAACCGGGTGTGAGGCGGCTGTGTAGGGAGTTGGATATCCCGTACCGCAGAAACTAGAGACGATAGCGGGAGGACATGGTGGCAAAAAGTCCGAGATGAAGAAGCTTTGCATGGAATCTGAGATAAGACTTTGAATGGGCGCCTGCTGATACGTGTTCGGAACGTGTGATGCTCAGAACCCAAACTGTCAGCACGCATAAATCACCTCAGCGATGCAGACAGTTTCAGGGTTCGTCGTTTGCGAGAAGCTGACTCCACGGGCTGTGTGACTTGACGTCCCGTAACCTCACGGCTCAGACGTTACGTTACGGATCCCAGTGATGAGTCTCTCCCTGTGTGACGCTGTTCGGCACAAACTGTGTGACCTTGAGCGTGGGTATGGCGCTGTATCCGACAGTCTCGAAGGCCAGAACCGCTCGATCCGTGCTGTGTTTCGAGTGTCTCTTGGTGCCTCCGTTCGGCTGTACGCGAGTGAGTTCACTGCTGGTAGAGTTGCCGGTTTAATGAAAGCTCAGAAGTTGTCGGTTGGTGTTCCGTCTCGAGTCTCTCAGCTGCTCTTTCACGGACCTTGGTAGTGTTCGTTCACAGGCGGGAGCGAGGGACGTTGTGTTTGACGTACGGTCGGGTTCAGGGTTGGTCGAATGTTCCCGTTTTCATGTAACTTGAATGATGTTTGAAAAATAAATATACCTGTTTGCTTCTTGCGGTTGTAATCTGACCATGAGTTACCGACAATCATTGATGCGGTTATTTTCTTATCATTACAAAACGTCGTGTGAGTAGGCAATCCTTTTATTGTTTTCCCTATAATCATTCATCTAACTCTCAGTTCACATTTATTTTCGCTGCACTTTGTGATTAACCGCCGGTATCTCTTCATGATCACATCGTACTGATGCGTTCAGTACCTTCGTGATCGTCTTGTGACTTTGTGAGTACTGTGGTCTGTGTACGCTGAATCACATGATGTATTAATACCACATGCATACACTCGCATTCATGATATCACACTGCGCCTGTAATGCAAACAACACTGCGGCGCGCCCTCGCAAACGGACTAAAGGACCGTGCTCAGCTGATATATGGGTAGGATATGTATCACAGAACAGCATAGGCACGACATTTCGATTAGCGATGGTGCTCAACTGAAGATCACACGTCGGAGTATCAAAACTGATCCACAGTATCAGTATCGCAATTTAGCGACATTTCTATAAACAAACGTCTAAATTAAAACGACTGCACAGAAATATCACTATAAAGTACACATCAGTTGCAAATCTCACAATTAATACTACAAAAAGGTAAAATAAACGGTGCTCTCAAACTTGTGGGCGTAGACGGACTGTGATCATCCCTGCCCTCATCAGTCATCAGTCTCATTTGACTGATACTATTGTCCCCTTTGCCCCCATCCCATAGCAGGTCGCGGACCGCGGTGATACATGTAAACGGTATCGCCAGCTGCCGCTTCCCTATTCGATAGCGTCACCTCGGCACCGATAGCTCTTATCCGCCCCTCTTACCGCCCCCCCCCCCCCTTCCGTCTCCGAAGCCGTTTCTTCCTATCTTCCCAGACAACAACATCCTTCGCTCCATCATTGAACGGCTTACCTTGGTGACCATCAGCCTATCGCCAGCTCAGCTCTGCCGACGGTTCGCCGTCTTAACCCCTCTTTCAGGCCTTGATTACATCGGTCGTAGTAACCACTACAAACTGACCCTTTATCCTTGCCTTCGTCCCTTTAGCTCCCCTAAACTTTAGCCCCTCGTCCATTTCTCTCCTAATACTGGCCGTCGGCTCCTCGCCCCTGCCTGCAGAAACTGAAACTACCGCTCTTCACCACCTTCCCCTCCCCGTCTACCTCCGGCCGCCCCTCTTCCCGCCCTGTTTGCCCGGCGGACCCTTGTTACTGGAGATGGACGAACACTTGGGGATGTGCCGCTCGGCCGCCGCCTCGTTGAAGCGTCGCTCGCAGTGCGGACACTGCACGTAGTCGGGGTTTTCGGAGGGCGGCGGAGGCGGAAGGTCGGCCAGACTTCCGCCGGCGTCTACATGCGCCTGCGCCATCTTCGCCGCTCGGATGTTGGCGACGAATTCTTCGTGCTGCTTCCGCCAGTCCACCTTCTTTGGCGACTGTCGGTAGCGGTTCTAGTGTTAGAGAAAACGGTAGCAAAGGTCAACGGCTATCGGAATAAAACGTCATGTGACGTTAACACAGAAATGTTAAAGAGATCACAAAGCGGTTATTCGGAACTTAGGCTGGCTCACGTGACGTTTAATCAGTATATAAACACGTAATACAAACAACGACGTCTGTAGGTAATGTATAACTAGCCCTCCCGTTTACCTGCCGCCAGCCGGTCACGGCAAGCCGTAACGGCCGTATACTTATAATCCTGTTCATAGATGGCGTTAGCAGTGAACGCCTGCAAGGGTAGGCTGTACCGCATTACACTATTACATACCGAGGGCCCTTGAGCCTCGCTGGGCGGCTCTCTGCGAGTAATAAATGCTCTGAGGCCAGTTTTACCAACAGAAAAATAGCCACCTGCCATAATTTTTTTTTTGTCTAAGGACCGCTTCACATACGGAGCGTAAACGGTAAAGCCCTATCCGCTTACGTGCCCATCGCGTTTACGTATGTGAAGCGGTCCTTAGAGTTTAGACCAAAAATTCCGGCAGCCGGCTATTTTTCTGTTGGTAAAACTGGCCTCTGGATAAGAAAGAATGTTACTCATATATCATTTTCTTTCTTTTCTCACATTACAGGTAAAGCTCACCTTCTGCTGTTTGTCGCCGCCCTGTTTAATTTTCTTCAGATACTGCTCCGACTCCGTGCCCGATACCCGCATCTTGACCGGGTCGAACACCTTCCGCTTCTTGGCGTGGCTCTTCTCGCAGATCTCCTGGTGCTTCTCCAGCCGGTCTTTGGCGAACGAGCGCGTGCAGATGGGGCACTGGGCCATGTTGGGGTCGGTCGGCGGCGGCCGCGGGGCGTCAGACGGCTGAAACGGAATACAGGCCGGGTCAGATGGAATACCTACAGGCCGGGTCAGACGGCTGGAACGGAATACAGACAGGGTCAGATGGAATACAGGCCGGGTCAGAAGGTTGGGAAGGAATACAGGCCGGGTCAGACGGCTGGGACGGAATACAGGCCTGGTCAAATATCTGTGATGAATTTTCCCTGCAATAATAACCTGGTTGAGGAGCAGGACGCGAACGCATGAATAATTCATCGCGCAACATATTCATGGATCGACATCATGCAAGCATCACTGCCAAGTATGGTATCCGGTCAGGCGATAATCATTGTTTTATCGCTATTTCTAGACGGATAGAGGTCTAATATTTTATGCATGACTATGCAAGCTGAGGGACGGCTTCGAAATGTCGAAACAAACTTCGTTTTCAGGAATGGTTCCTGGAAAAAGCTGTAATTGTATGTAAAAACAGACAGTCTCCTTGCCTATGTTGACCAGCAGACGTTCATAATGAACTTTTAATGCGTTTGACGTTACATAAGCCGTATTCTTGCACACCTTACTACCCTGTCTGAAATTTGGCACGCCATACGTCATGCTCCCAATCCCGGCAACGGGCTGACACCGTTCCGCGAATAGCATGACTCACCCAGACGGAGGAGCGTCAGTCACGCAACAAAACCCCTCCCTCCCTCCCCAGGGTACGGGGCAAACAGTACCATAACGGGGATCGCGTCACATTTCAGCCAATAGCCAGACGCCTCTATAATCTCTGAACAGTATTTTTACGATGCAATACGATTCCATACGATCGCATTCATTATGAACTGCTGCAAGGTAGTCTGACTTAAATGACCATATAATATTTTGGTAGGAAATATTGCAGGCTTGTGTTATGCCTAACTACATTTACGTTGCAAGTGTTTTAGCGAACGTCACAGGGTTCACGTCTGCTATCAGTATGCGTGCCTTTCGGAACTTTTTAAAGGTCATGAGACGAATAATGGCAGGGAATTTCCTCCCGCTAAGGATTTCCTTAAATACCCTGATGAGCTGGCGTATCTACTTATACAGCATGCAACCGGAAATCGGAGCTGTAACCTACTTTGCGATGAACATGCAACCTTCGTTTTCCATTAATTAACAAACTGTAAGTCATAAATTTTATTGGAAGAATCGCTTGGTGAGATTCTTTTAACTATAAGGTAATTATCCCACACAAAGTGTGGAATTCTAGTACATCAATTATATGTATTGTTGCAAAAAAAAAAAATGAAGGAAGGTAGGATAACCACAAGCACTTGATATACGTGTAAATCGACAATAAGTAAACGTGGCTGATGAGTACCTGTGTTCTTAGCACAGGTATTCACGAGCGTAGTAGTATAAGAAGATGAAATTAAGCACACTGACAAACGCCCAAGGTCACTTACTATAGCGGTTCCCCACTTTGCTGTTTCCCATGGCCGTCCCGGCGTCCAGGACAGTCAGCGGTCATCCATACCTTGACCGATGGTCTCCGATCACCCATACCTTGACCGATGGTCTCCGGTCACCCGTACCTTGACCGATGGTCTCCGGTCACCCGTAACTTGACCGATGGTCTCCGGTCACCCGTAACTTGACCGATGGTCTCCGGTCACCCGTACCTTGACCGATGGTCTCCGGTCACCCGTACCTTGACCGATGATCGCCGTGACCCGCCATTGACCGAGGGTCGTCGGGAGCCGCCTCCCTTCCTTCCTCTCGATGGGGAGAGCGTCTGCCGCGCGGGCTTGGCCGCCGCCGCCGCCTTCGGGGGCGCCGGTGACTTTGATTTACTCTGAAAACACGCCCGTGTGTGGTCAGGTCATGCAAGGGTTAACGGGTACCAAATGAAAACTTATTCTTAGACAATAGAACAAGCGTCATTTAAAGACGTTGAGAAGGTATTAGCAGTGCACTTTTAAGCTGTCAGTTTCAATCGACCAGCACAACTTACTGTTATATCTAATCGATACGCATAATTTTCCACGCGTGTCTTTTCATCGAAAAGCAATGAAGCTCACAAACTTTTCAATCAAGCAAACACTCATAAACTGAATGATAGTCACACCATAAACACGCGTCACTACAATTCAACTTGAGTAACTGTAAAACAAACAAGTTCCTCAAACACACGGCACACGGCACACGCAGCATTCCGCGACGGCAGAGCAAACAAAACGGTGGCAGCGTCAAGTATCTGCACGCACGTCAGGTCGCAGTCGCCACAGCACACCACGCTGCACACGCCACTCGGTGCAGGTCGGGTCAGGTCAGGTCACAGGTCAGGTCACAGGTCACACAAGCCGTACCGATCCGGAGCCCATGTCCGCTGGGTGAGCGGCGATGTTGGCGCAGCTGTGGTCGGCTCCCTGTCTGAGGGTCGGCGCCCCACACACGGCACGCGCAGACGCTATGGAAACGGCGCCAAACAGCTCCGGCGCGCCAATACGGGCCTTTGGGTGGCAGCGGGCCGGCTGGGGGTGGGTGCAGGTGCCCCATACCCCTCCCCTCCCCTGCCCAGTCCGTGGGTATTTCCGATAATACAATTACGCGTGGCTGATAGTGAAGAAAAAGGTCCTACTATCCAGCGAAAGTTATGCTTTCTTCCGATATCTCCACTGGTATGCATCTCATTATTTATAAAGTTACATGTTGTAAAGCCGAGTCCCTGCTTACGCTACATCTAAAACTCTCTAGAGCAATCAAGACCTATCAGGTGTGCGTTGTCTTCACCAGGCCGGTTGTCACTATCAGGCGACACTTTGTCCGTGTAATTGTCTTTGAAGGTAAGTAATTACAAGAAATCGCGATCCCAGCTGCTGGCAATGAGATAGTAATTAGTAATACGCTTATATGCGAACGCAATGCATGCTTTCAGTTCATCATAATGCTCATCAACGGCCTTTGCGGTCAACAAAGAGGACGCATGTCTATATTTCCGAGTCGAATAATGTCTCAACAGCAATTTCTTATGACTATCGCGGCCTAACAAATCGTTATACCCATTCGCTATAGGTACACGCGTTTACTAGCATGACGGACGCAAAGCTTGTGACAACTGGGCCAATCAGCGACCAGCGTGCGCAGCGTGACGTAATGTCAGCCTGTGTGACGTCACGCCACTTGCGGCTCGAATCGTTATACGGTGAGTTTTCTGTGTGCACACGCCCGTACCCCGTGTTTGGACGGTGCAGGCCTGGAAACCATTCTAGGAATACTCAGTATGGCGCCAAAGGTCAGCCAACCTGGTTGGAAAAACGACCGGTCGAGGTCGACTGGGCTATTATAAAGAGGGAGGGTGTAGGTATGTGTACCTATATGTTTGCACCGCAAATTTCCGGTCGTGGTCAAACAGCAAAGATCTAAGTTAATGCCAATTTCAATTAAATATAGCTTGCTTGAGGAAAAATGACAAGAGCTTACATGAAAACAATCAGACCAGTCATCGAGAAAAAGGTGACCTTGGATCAACCACCCCGGATGGGTCATTGGCACATAAGCGGTCAACCAGCTGTCAGCGCTGATGCGAGGGCTTGCGGTCACACTGCAGCGACGCTTCGCCAGCAGTGGAGACGGGCCTGAAAGCTGTTTGTCAGCCTGTTATTGCATCGGTCTGTAGTTAACTGCAGGGAGCAATATTCACACACCAGTGATCCCTGAAATATTAACAGACGCTGCCAGTGATCGCTGGGGCTGGCGGACGTTGCCACGGTTTCTAAGATCGATCCGGCCGATGTTAGCAGGGTTATTGTCGTTCGTTTACTGTTCGCTGGCATTGTAACGGCGGCACGGGGACAGTGACACATGAGTTCAAGGTCTCAGGTTCGATTTCGCTATGAAATGAATGTTCAATAACGTTCGATGTGGCCAACAAGGTGGCTATTGACGATCCATCAGGCGCTTTGGAGAAGAGACTCTAATTGTTTACACCTTACTCTTTTAACAGCTCTCTAAAACGTTATAGCCGTCATTTACGGTGGTGACAAGACTTGCATTAGGCGGCACGGCATTAGCAGTTCTATACCACATAACACTTTCGCAGGGACAATTTAATGTTCCCTGAGTGCGGAAGCATAACCCTGAAGTCGACGCTGCAGCGGTACGGAATGACGTCTGAACCGGGTGCCCTCCAATGCAGCAGTGGTCTTTGTAGGCTACTGCGCCTTGACTTCTGCTTAGGAATGGAAGTTATTGATTTTGTGGAAGTAGTTTGCTGGATATGTAGGTGTTTTGAATTGTGTTGTGGTTGCACTTTAAAGCCCAAAGGTTATCAAAAGGGAGCCTTCTGAGCACTAGGAAAATAATTCTAGTGTACTAGAGGCTAGAGAACACCAAAAATATTACGATTCAAGTGCTGTAACGATGCTTTCTAAGTTATTGCGGTAGTATGTAGGCAGCGGCACTATCCCATCCATCATAATGCTAAGCAAACACCTGGATCGATGTGTTTCCAGCGCCTCGCCATGGCTCAGTTGAATGGCTGAGTTAGACTCGAAGTGGGGAACCGGAGTCCGAGTCGGGTATGGCGTTGCAATTACGAGACCGGGGTGGTATGGTATGGCAAACACATAAGAGATAGGAACCTAGAAACTAGGCTGAGGCAAGTACTCATATAGACTCGTAGACGTGTCGCACATCCAACCACCAAGTAAAAACTCACCGAAGAAATAAACGTAAAAAGGCTATCGTAAAACCCTTAACAATGCGCCTAACTCCCGGCGCCCAAAATCTGCTTTCCCGGTCCTGTGGCACAGTTGAGAGTACTGAGTAACCTTTGCCTGAGCCGACCAGTGCACCTGTGGGAGCCGGTTTCGAGCCATTTTAACGCCCGTTATTTTCTCCGGAAGGAGTAGTCGTCTTACAACTAAAAAGCCAGTTGAGCCGCTTCGACACGTTGAACGCTCGACACTTACCCCGCGTTCGATGTCTCTCGGGCGACGAAGATTCTACGCCGTCCGGCCAATCACGTTCCATAACCGCAGCTGAGCCCCCGCTGACCTTGAACGGGAGTGGCCGGACGACGTAGAATCTTCGTGGTCCGAGAAACATCGAACGCGGGGTTAATTAACTTCTGTCAGGAATACGGAATTTCCAGATCGGGTGATAGGGTCATAATATACGCGACAAGTTTCTACGCAATAAGCTCTGCCTAGCGTGGGTTCTGAGCCTCTGCGGCCTGGTAAATCGGTCGGGCATGGAGACATTTAAAAATGTTTTGTTGAAACAGCTAGCTAATTTCTGGGCAATGCTGCGTAGCGCGCAATAATCTGCTCCGTTTCCTTTCAGTGCCTGGTGGCTTTAAAGCGGTTCTCAGGCGCAAATGCTGGCTGCACTGTCACGCCGAGCGACCGGCCGGCCGGTCGGTTGCATTGCAGCACACCACGGCACACCATGCGTCACACGGATGTTACGTCCTCACCCTGCGCGGCGCGCGTGCCTTCAGACCGGCCGGCTCCTTCGTGGTGTCCTTGATCTTGTCGAGCAGCTCGCCCTCTCGGCGACGCAGCTCGTCGTTTATTCGATTGCGATCCTCCTGTCTGCGCGGCGGCTTCTTTTTGGCGCGCCCTACTGAGCTGCTGCGTGCGGCCGGCTTGGTCGCACGCTTCTGCGGGGCCTCGATGGCGCCCTGGCTCTTGGTCCGGCGCAGCGGAGCGCCGCGCCCCTTGGTTCGACTTACCGTCTGCTGCTGAGGCGGTGAACGGTCGGCGCGCTTGCCCGCGCCGCTGCGCGCCGGCGGTGTCCGCTTCTGCCGGCCGCCGGTCGGAGGTGAGCTCTTACTGATGGGCTCCAGCGGGTAGCTCTTGTCCCACCCCACTGGCGAGTTTTGTGCTGAGGTGCCGCCCATGCGGCGAGCCTGGAACATGGCCCGTACTTTGCCAGGTCCCAGGGAACTGTTCATGCTGAGCGAGGCAGACAGACTGCTCATCTGCGAGCGCTGACTGCAGGCGCTCTCCGCGCCCGGCGACCGTGGCGCCGCCGAGTGGCGCTCTGGGGAACTGCTGGTGCTGCCAGCCGTCGTTGGAGGTGAGGGTGACTCTGGCGCCGCCTGTTGGTGGCCTGAGTATTCAGAAGTTTCCCCGACTGCCGCCGAGGCCGAAGTTTCGGCCGGCTCTGGTGAGGAAGACCCAGGTGAAGGAGCGCGTTCTGTCTGTCTCCTCGGTTGAGAAGTAGACCTCTGTGGATAGGAGAACACTGCTGAGGCACACTGGGGACACTGTGGAGAAGAGGATATTGCTGGATGTTGTTGAATGATAGATCACGACAGCTGGTAGAATGTTGACAGCTTATGTCCTTAGCACATATGATTAACCCGCGCCGGGCCGGTGCTCTGAGATTCCGCGCCGGGCCGGGGGGTGTCTGAACACCCCCCCCCTTCTAACTCGGCTCCTGGGCCACGTAGCGACACGCGGTAAGCGGCAATCGAAAGCACGTCCAAAATAAGGACGAAAACACTTCGGTCATTTTTTGGGTCAGGTCAAAGGTCAGGTCACCAGAGGTCACCAAAGGTCAAATGTCCACTATTTCAACATTTTGGAAACTGCCAACGGCCATCTCGGGAACCGATAGAGCTACAGCGCCGCGGAAAAGCGTATTCGATAGCCCTTTTACAGACCTTTCTGAGTAATGTTCTCAAATTTGACCTCAGGTCTACGGTTTAGCCTCCAGAGGGCAAAAACTCCAAAAATAGCCGTTTTTACGAAAAACGTTTTTTTCGGCAATAACTTTTGACTCAAAAAAGACACGACATTACTTTTGCCACCATCGTGTTCCTCTCGTCGAGACGCGTCGAATGAACTATAATTTGACCTTGAAAGGTCAATTTGAAAATTTGACCTCAGGTGCAAGGTCATGACCTGACCAGAAAAGGCCATGTTCATATCCGTCAAGCCGAACACATCTAAGAGCGTTTTCAGCGCTCTAGCACGTCTCTATCAGAAGTTATTAGCGAAAAACTGTTAGTTTCTGTTCGTGACCTGAGATGACCTCGGGGACATAACGAGGGGTCACAGTTGCCATTTTCCGGTTCAGTGTGTCCATTTTACCTACATCTCGATGTTTGAGAGTGTCTAGAATATAGCGTTCGTGCAAAACAGACGCTTTTCAATTTTCTCCCATTGACTTATAATGGAGAGGTCGCAAAATTGACCTGACCTTAGGTCACCGATATCAAAATTCCGGGATATCAATTTCATAGATAATGTTGCTCTTATCAATCGCTGAAAGTTTCAAGGCAATCGATCAATCGGTGTAGCTATGACGAGCATTCTTATTTTTTCTGAGGTGAGGTCACCTGGCGTGACCTGGTGACCTGACCTAAGGTGACCTGGATCTGAAATTTACACAACATGTGCGGAAAAGATGCACGAACAGGTGTGCCAAAAACGCGCCGCCGTTTTTGAGATATCTGCGAAACACCGCAGGAGGGTGTTCAAACACCCCCCCCCCCCCAGCCCGGCGCGGGTTAAATCAAAACAGATGCAGGGAAGAGAACGTTACATTATTATCAGGCATCCTATTCTCAGGATACTAGACACTAACTGCGCCAGTATCATTGCTCTTCTTTTTTAGGGGGGCTGCCGGTCATCCATCCAAGCGTCCGGCGCAGAAAACAGGGCAGTTACAGAATTCTTACTAGAACAGCAGGCGGGATTGTTCTCACAGTCCTTCCGGGGTGACTTCTGAACATGCTTTGCGACCTGTCTCACAGGGACATGATTCGTTCAAGACCGGGCTGAGTCGTTGAGGCCCACTAGTTGGAAGACGCAGCCCAAGGGCTTATCATTATCCTATCACCCCTTAAGCCTGAAAGGGTCTAAGTTAATCGACCAGAAAGGGCTGAACGAGCAAAGAAAAAACACAGTGTATATAAATAAAAAACAAGCAGCAATAAGAGTAACAACAGTAAAGGGTGTCCAAAATCGTACCTATAACCAGGTTCACACAGTAGGTATGTGGGCAAATGGATAAGTTTGATGTCCAAGAAGCGTTTCACTCGAATTTTGAATGTTATGGCTCTCTGTGTTCTGGACCGGTTCAAGAGCGTGCTTTGGATGAAAGTGTGCCATCACGAACAACGTGGTGATTCAAATGAATAAGACAGCTTCAAGTGAGGTCACTCGGGCACAAAGGTAACTAGATCGTCATCAGGGGCGACAGTCATCAGGGGCGCTTTTACTGGGCAAGAGCTTCTTATAAATCAGCGTAAGTACAATTTACGTCTTAAATTTACAATGGAGCGCAGCTGATAACAGCCGCCAACTGTCAGCCGAGCTTCTACATACGCACAGGGATTGAACTTGGAATTGGACTAATTTCTTATTGTTAGCTACAATGCAGGCAAGCTTTAGATGTGTGTTTACTAATATGAGGGTTTTTAAAATATTACATGCTTGGACTTTGGAAAGAACTTTGCATTGACTGTTTCTGTGTTAGTTGGTAGGGGCATTTCAGACAGCAGCTTTGACAGTATTCACTCGTGATCTGTCCTGTCGGCCTGGTGGTCGCCTTTGTGGTCTATTTCTCTCGCGAGTACTCGAAGTAATTTCTATGAGTGCTTTAGCGATTAGTATGCATGATTGTTATGCTAGTGTGCAAAGTGCTAATGTGACCTTCTTGCCACTTTCTCACCGCGCGATCAAGGCCGGTCGCCATCAACCGCTCGCTCACCTGAATTTCTCTCTCCCACTTCCTCCAAATCCCCTCACTACACCAAACACACCACCGGCACTCGTCTCCACTCCTCTCGGTCGGTACTGGCCGGCGACTGACCCAAGCACCGCGCACTGCTGCCCTGGGCGACGTATCGACACCGACTCGCCGTGGCACTGGCGAGTCGCGGTCGGCGCGGCGACCGGTCAGTTGGCGGGGTACGCAATCGATGACGCACCGGGCCAGACAACCGGGTCAGGGGCGGCGGAGGGACGCGCAGGGGTGTGAGGGGAGATGAGATGGTACACTGATAGGTGTTGTAAGGAGGTGTGTTGGTATTCAAAATATCTGTTTTCGATTGATGTGCATTCCGTCCAATTTGAAGCTGATTTGTGATTTACTTGTTTTGGGTGAGTTTTGTTAACCTTACTGCCCTTTGCAGTTCACTTTTTTTCGAAAAGATGAAGACCTGAGACCATGTGGATATCTTTAAAGATCTAAGCAGCCCAGTGCTGACCGTCGGCAGCCTTTCGTCGACTTTCACAAAATATCGGAGATTATAATTATCGACAGCTACAATCATCGATGTGAATATTGTTGTGCGGGTATTGCTCACAAAATGTTCAAATACCGGCAGCATGAATGCACCAAAAATTAAACTCGAGGATGTGGGTCCTTGAACAATTTGGCTCTGGCACACACATCGCCATCGTAAAGTTATTTTTCCCTTAAGACATCTAAATAAACGTTTTCGTTTAAATGTATAAACCGCTTGTAGTAGAAGTAAGGCCCGAACCGGAGCGAAATGCAACAAGGACGAAGACTGGCATATTCTGATCAATACAAGGTCGGTAGGCATTTGCTTGCAGCCGCCATGCAGCAGGCGCCTGATCGATAACAATTAACGCTCGATCACCGCCGTCCACCGCTATGTAGCGAAAGGACACAGAAGGTATGCATTCTGTCGCTTCACGCTTGAATTGTGCTCATCCACATTTTTACGGACGATGCGTGTTGCAAACTTATCATTCTGTAAATGGTGTATTCAAGCTGACAACAGCTTCCAATAGCTATAATTGGATCGGTTCCCTATGGTGAGGAGTTCGCTATCACGCGATAAGGTGATTTCGGATTCGCGAGTAGATAGTAAAGCGGTAGCTAGCCGTCTGGAGACACACAAACACGACGATTCAGCTTTTGTTTATTGGTCGTGCTGTTTTTTAATTCTAAGATTAGTTGGAATCACTTTGCAATGTTTGTTGATGAGTTCAATCTCAGAAATATGATGTCGTCGAAAGCAACAGATAATCTCTCCTCAAGAAAGCACACCTTGCCTTCATCAGAGAATCAAGGACACGCGTCAAGTCAGCAAGGACACGTGTCGCGGCACGACCATGGGCCCAGTCACGCGGCGCACAGCTATACGGTCATTTTCGTGCCGGGTAGCGCTGGCACAGGCATGTGACGGCAGTAATTGCTGGACGAGTGCACACCCGACGCGGTCAATAGAGGCGGGCCGACCAAGGCCGTGGTATTACACGGCTGATCAGACCAGCTGATGGATGAGATTGGGTCATGTGGTGACGGGATCGGTGGTTAGCGATGGAAGGTTACTGACATCTAATGAAAAATGGCGATGATATTAATTATGTAATCATGCTTCAAAATTACCATAAAATACATACCTTCGTTGACATGCTTCCATGCAGTTTATCGTTTGGACTGTATAACCATCATACATTGTGTAGCTGTAACTGTATGCAAGGTGTGCTGAAAAATTACGTAACGCTGTGTACGAGCATTTGTCTCGATATATCCTTCGACTTCTGCAATATGTTGTCAGTCTTGAATACTACACAGTTACTTCAATCCTAAAATACAAGCTGTAAGACAGCTGACATTACGCGTAGTGGTATCATATCACAAACATCCTGATTTTTTTTTGTGTTTCGTCCATGCAGAACCATTCCAGTAATGTCACGGATGAAGAGCACGTCTAATTCGTTGCGAGTCTTCTCACCTGTTTAGCGCTTAGTCGACTGGGTCCTCGTGACGCCACAGGCTGGGGAATGCCACTAGTCCGTCGGGAGACTGTTGCCATCGCTCACTGTCCTGTGAAAAACGGTGTCACGCTTACAAAATACACTTCCTTGGCACGGCACCACACAGCCAAAGCGAGGCGCGGAAGCAGCTGGGAGGGTAGACTGTCCCGCTACGCACGCCTGTGCTGCGGTACAGTCTACATTCCAGGCATTCGGGTGGCGGAGAGCCCGAGCCATTCGCCTTCGACGTGCGTGTGATTTCTGTATCTATAGCCGTCGTGCAATAGCATAGCATGAATTGGGGGTTTGTTAGTGGCGTTTGTCATACATTGCGTGCCGGAAGCCCATTCTATGCGTACCGGATCTATATAGCATTTTTAGGAATAAGGCCATTACACTGCATTCGCATCGATTTTACAGACCAAACATTCCTGTTATTTACGCTAGGGTTTTCCTCACTTTCAGTAATCTAGTGCCCTAAGCAAGAAGTTAGCTAGTATAGTAAGGTTGACAACCACAGCAGATGGACTCACTCAGGCCGATGAAATGATCTTTTTTAACCAAGAGTCTTGTATTCCCTTATCAAACAAAATGTCAACTAAAATAGGTACGTTGTGAATAAAGCATTACTCACAAGTAGAAGAACGCTCTACACTTTTATAGTTATTTTGTTTTAAGTGCTGCAAACAAGTCTCCAAACCAATTCAATTACAGTTCATAAACGAAATAATCTATTGATTATGCCCATGTAATGGATCGCGTACCCCGCGGCAATCACCGACATGAACACAATCACACAAACACACCCACACATACACACAGAGAACAAAGGAGCGTTACCAAAAGGCAACGCCCGACAGGCACGACCCCACTACTCCCCTCGACCTGTCAGCGTCGGCGGGCGGCAGAACGCCATTCTCTGTTTACCACATACCTGTCGACCCAGAACGCCATTCTCTGTTTACCACATACCTGTCGACCACCGGGTCCGACGGACGACGCCAGAGCGGCACGGCGCGATCGTTACCTGTCTGACGTCACTGGTTGGTTGGCCCGGGTCGTAACGGCAGCGACGGGCACCGCGGCACACCCGGTAACCGCCAGTAACCGGCACAAATCGATCCGATTGCTGGGCGACTGTAGGCCGCCGCCTGCCCGACGGACGCTCAAAGACAACTGGGACACGGCCGGCTAGGTGCGCCCCCAGCCACCAGGGGACGCCACCGCACTGACACGTGACTAATGGGATTCCAGGCACATCCAGGGGAATGGACAGCTGGCCCACGAGCGCCGCTTGTCACGTGATATAGAGGATTGGACACTATAGCTGCTGGCGTGCCAAATCTGGGGTTTGCTATGTAAGAAGATGGCCGTAACAGGGAACCTGGGACAGAACTTATGTCTCCGATTCCCCGTCAGCCACTACTATATGCTGTTTAATTGGTCAGTGGTGTCAGACAATCAACAGATCAATAGACAGTAGTAGTCCGAGAAAGGGAACAGTTTCTTTGCGGCAATTTCATACGGTAAGATCTTCATACAATTCTCCCGAGTTTCGGTCATGCATCATCACTGAGTCGACGAAGTGAGGCAGTAAGCCGCATTTCTACATAGATCACACCAACATTCCTGGCTCCTCTACAAGTGTGTATTCAAAGTCAAACATTGAAAAAATACAGCGACGCTCTTGGAAGACATAAGCTCGGGTACAAAGACACGGCAGCAGGGGCCATGCTGTCGGCTGCACTGACATCACGGATCGTGGCAATGAAGCACAAAGATGCAGTTCAGAGTGAAACGCAATGGTACACTGAAACGCAAACACCGATCTCTTGCCTAAGCAGACTTGCAAACATTTGTTTTTGAGCGATCATTAGTAGCAATTACGACATAAATACGCAGGAGCGTAAAATAAGCATAGTGAACACACGACCTGTAAGTCACAATACGGTTGCATTCACATGACATTCATTTCGTCATCATTATCTTGAATAATGACACAAAAACCGACGAAATTGACGTATATTGATAAAGATATATCGTTTACAATTACACCATTACGATCATCTAATTATGTCGTGTTTGCAGCGATTCAGAATCAGCAGGGTTATAATTCATCTCGCTGAGTTTGTGGACCTGAAAAACGTTACTGGTGTTAAAGCCAGGAAATATGAATATTGTTCTCAGTTCTCACTTATTGCACATTAAGTAGTAATAGGGACTGGCAGACAGAGACTAATCAAGTAACAATCACTCTACTCTATACATATATGCATTCTCTGCAATTTTGAACTGCACACCTACGTAACTTCCAGAGCTCCTTAAAATAATTACAAGACACAGGAGTCGATGGGTTTACTTATTCCGGATTTAATTTCCATTCACTTACGTTGAACGTAATTTCATTAGAAACGGACATTTTGTATAACAACCTATAGACGACAAGCAATCCTGCGTAAGTTACCGTGCGTGGTGTACTCCTCTTACCATCTGCGGCGCCCTGAAATTCGTCCATGATATCCAGTGTGTCCGCCTCGGCGGTGGGGACGGACTCGGTCCGTCTGGAGGACGAAAAGTCGATAGGTGGCAGCACCGGCAGCCACGGCTCAGACTTCATCAGCACTGGAACGACACCGTTTTCTGAGTACATGCGCTACATAGAAACATTTATGGTGTAGACTGTGGAGTGTGTACGCTATATATTTTTTCGACAGCTGTGTCAAAAATACCTGCCATCTGCCAAAAATATATCATATAAGACATACAACGTGACAGAAAACAAAGATGAACCAATAAGTTGACAAAACATCAATTCAGTATTTATGGCAAATAAAGAAATAAGTAAGCAAAACACAGGAGACATCAAGCCAACGGACGGTCAAACTACCCACCCTCTCCGGTGATATGACCACCGAGGACCCGATCCGCCCAGTGCAGGACCGGCTCGGCGCTGGCCGGGCCGTTATATTTCACCACTTGACCTGAGGTCAGGTTCACGGCCACCAGCGCCCTGGATGAGGTCAGCTGGTACTGCTGTCGGGCCTGCCGACCCACGGGGCTGGAGCTGGCGGGAAAAAGGACAGGTGCTGGTTAGAGAGGGTAAGCGTAGGTGACGCCACCGACCCAGCGCTGAGGGTGGTTGATAGCTGGTGTAAGGGAATCTGTAGGCTAGTTTTAGATGTCAGGCTGGAATGATTTGTGAGATTTTGAATGTGACCGATCATTGGAACGCAATTGCAAACGTCAAGCTGTCTTAACTTATTTCAGTGAGTGGTTTTGTACCTTTAAAAAGTAAAACCACCGTCGACGATCAAATTGTGCACCGCTCAATTTTGAGGGTCATTTTTACATCATGAGATATTGAAGCTTACCAGCAAGCTTCTAAGCCACAGCGTCGCATTTTCCAGACCAACGCATTGATCTGTGTCTGGCTGCCTAGACCCATCAGATTCCCACCAGATTCCCTCTACATGTAGTGCTCCCCTCCCACCTGTTGATCCAGAAGCAGTGGGGTACTGTCAGAGCCAGTTGTCCGACTGCCTCTGTCAGACGGTCCTCGACAGTTGTTACCGGGCAGCTGCCGTCACTACAGAAGAGCAGGAACGTCCATGGCGACGTTGGCAACAGGTGGAGGGTCTCCTCGTCCAGCTCCGGCTATGGAGAGAGACAGAAGGGGAGAGGAAAAGAGAGGTAGAAGGGGAAGAGGGTGATATAGAGGCAATTGATTTCTGCTATTGATATCCTGGTTTAGAAAGTTCCAGTAAATCTGTTATACAAATTGCACAACGTTCAGCTCGTTTTACCTATGCATCGTTTCAAGTTGACTTTATTAGTTTTTACACTGAATCTTGGCTGAAGCTATTCCATCTCATTTTATTTTAGAAACGATAATACAATTACCGACTAACATGATAATTCAAAACGATTTTGCGGCGCAGTACGCAACCAATTAGAACAAAGTATTGCTCACCATGACGGGCACGCAGTGAGCGATGGCTAGCTCCAGTTTTTCTAGGTCTATTTCCAGTTTTGTCTGGAACGGGTCGTTCCTTTTGATGCAGAGTGGTGAAGACTTACCGAACCTGGAACGCCAAAAACATACGAGCATTTTCGCGAAGGTTGTACACTTGATCATTCAGTCCCACTGTACATAACCCACTGTACATTTCCTTTGATGTGGAAATAGCCGTCCAGTAGTCATGAATGGATCTATGCATGCCGGACATCTGATGACCGAAGTGATGACGTCGGCAACGATATCAGTTTTGCTAGCAAGCAAAAAATGAAAACAAAATAAAATAAAGCAAAATGAAGCAAAATAAAAAAGAAATAAATCCATAAATGATTTAAAGCAAAAAAGCTGGTAGATGAAATGAGCCCAACAAGGCTTGAGCTGCTGTTTATAAGTCTGCATACTCACATGTCCTGCATTACCGAGCCCTCCACCTGGGCTAGCAGCGCCTCTCCCCTCAGCGGGCCTGTGAGAGCGGAGGGAGGGCGCTGGCTGGCGGCTATCAGCAGCACACCATCAGCGCCATCTAGCGGTGACCCGGTGAGTTGGCCGTCCATCCAGCGTTCCAGAGTGGCGCTGCTGACCGGCAGAGGCACCGGCGCCGCGCCGCTGCCGAAACAAACAATGATGTGAACAACACTGGCACTATGTCTCCGAACTGGGAGAAGATATGAGAGAACCCCAAAATAAATTTCCTCTAGTTGTTACACATCGTTCTTATCCATTGTAGATATGATTATGCGTCATTAATAAACTCAAGCATAGCGAAAACGGTTTCTTCGGAAGTTGTCTCTCTTTGTTGAAAAAAAATATGCCCCTCTCCGTGCTCCTGGCAGACTGACAGACTCACAAGCTGCCAGACTGGAAAAACATGCATAGATTGACTGGCTGACTTACTGACTGACTGACTGACTGACTCCCAGACTGACCTGCTGAGTAGCCTGGTGACCGCCGCCGCGGTCAGGCTCCCATTGACCCGTCTCCGATGACCTCCCGCCAGGACCAGCACGGTAGGGTGGGAGCGCACCCCGATCCGGTCACAGAGCTCCGACCAGTCCAGGCAGCTGAGACGGCCCAGGTGACGGCGCAGGTCAGCCGGCAGGGTGGTCAGTTGCCGGAGCAGACACCGACTCACCGGGTCCCCTGCGGCCGAGGAGCCGAGCGGTGGGAGGGGACGAAATGCACAACAAATAGACGACGATGTGCATAACGCCGTGGGTGGGGGACGATATGCGTAACAAATGACGACGATGTGCATAACGCGGTGGGTGGGGATAAGGGAAAGATATGCGTAAGGGAGGGACCCGTACATTTTTCAGTACACATTAGCCATAGGGAAAGTCGATTATCGATTAAGCAAATCGATCTGAATGGCATCGATAAGGTCAATTAGACCCGGTTCCAGATCATTCACATTCATATATACTTTCCCTTTAAGAAATAAAGTCCGTTGGCGCTGGAAGGGGGCCAGTCATTGAAAGCGGCGTAACTGTCTCACGGAGTTAATGTTCTCAGCGATGCCGTTTACGTTAGTGTTGGCGACGCTTTCGTTCGAATCTCCTTTCATGGTGTGGACTGTATTTAATCGCGCATCGCACAGCATTTGGTTGTTTGGTGACCGAGATCCAGGAGGAAAATGGTTTAATTGGAATTTGGGAAAATAAATGTAATAACCTATCACGTTAGCCTAGTTAAGATACAACTAAATATTGGATACAGGATAGAGCGCCGGATGCCGACGACTAAGGAACCTCCTTCTTAGGAAGTATACTAGGGTTACCCGCGTGCTCCGCAACGCGAAGAAGGGTTATTTTTGACCCGTGGGTATTGGGTTGGTCTGTGTCGGTTTGGTTGGTATCCATTTCGTTCGATTGCTTTTTGACGGCCAAGCATTATGTAATAAAACAAAAAGATACATCGCATCGAGGTGCCCGTGTCGTATTATCATGCGTTCTACTTAAGAATGATTCGAAAACTGGCGTGAAGTCTTTTGAGGGCCATCGCTGAATTCGCTAAAAATGACGATGTAATGGTTTGGAACATTTACATTTTTAAGAATACTGTTGCTCATCATGCAAACATGAAGAGTGAATCTTGGACAGAATTGAATGCTCTTTCCAACGGTGCCATTTTCAATTGCCAAACGTATCAGGTTATGCAGCAAAACCCGTGTAATTAATAAAATGACACATCATCGACAAACACCATTTTCT